AAGCAGGGGGAGTGGGAGAGGGAGAAGCAGGCTTCCCGCAGAGCAGGGAGCCCGATGCGGGGCTTGATCCCAGGACCCTGGGATCATGACCTGAGCCGAAGGCAGATGCTTAATGACTGAGCCACCTAGGCTCCCGGTTCTTTGCATTTTTATATAGATTTTAGAATCGGCTTGTCAATTTCTAGAGGAAAGCTTGATGGAATTATGATTATAATTGTATTGAATCTATAGATCAGTTTGGGGGAGAATTGACATCTTAACAGTATTGAATCTCTGATGCATGGACATACTGTATCTCTCCATTCTCTTAGGTCTTTAATTTTTTCCAGCAGTGTTTTATAGTGTTTAGTGTGGGGGTCTTACATGTTATTTTGTTCTTCTGTTACTAGTATTTTGGGTTTTTTTTTTGATGCTGTTTTAAGTGGATATTTAAAAATTTTTTTTTCCAATTGTTTGCTTCTAGCATATGGAAATATAACTGAATTTTGTATATTGACCTTATATCCTGAAACTTACTAATTTATTTATTCTACTAACTTTTTTTGTAGATTCCTTAGGATTTTCTGTGTAAACAATCATGTCATATTCAAATAGAGAGTTTTATTTCTTCTTTTCCAATCTATACACCTTTTCTTTCTTTTTCTTGCCTTATCGTATTGGCTGGGGTATCAGGTACAATGTTGAATGTAAGTGGTGAGAGTAGACATTTTCGTTTTCTTCCTGATTTAAGGGTGAAAGCACTCACTATTTCACTGTTGTGATGTTACCTGTAGGTTTTTCAAGGATGCCTTTTGTAGGTTGGGGAAGTTTTCTTATGTTCCTAGTTGGCTGAGAGTTTTTTATTAGAGTGGGTGTTGAATTTTGTCAAATGATTTTTCTGCATCTTCTGCATCATTGTTTATTCTTTTAATATGATGAATTCAATGGACTGATTTTTTGCATGTTAAACTGACCTTGCATTCCTGGGGTAAAACCCTCTTGATCATAATATATTATTATTTTTGTATGTTGCTAGATTTGATATGCTAATATTTTGATAAGGGCTTTTGCAAGCACATTCTTCATGAGGGTGTAAATCATGTTTAGACTTTAAATATGCAGATCTGTATGTGGAATAGCAAAATATTTTATAGCTGGTGGTGGCTAGCTGCTGCTCTTTGAAATAGACAAATGCCTGCAGAGTGCCCTATGTTAGGATGATGGGGAATTCAAAGATAAATTTGCACAATATATCTCTAGGCATGCTGTTGGAAGTAGATAGTTCTTTTTAATACAACCACTGTATTGAAATCAGAGTTTCTGGTGTTGTAGTTTCAAAACAAATACTATGAATTCTGATTAAGTTCCTTGTTTTGTTTATTTACTTGAAGATTTATTTATTTTTATTTTAGAGAGCACACACATGAACAGGGAGAGGGGCAGAGAGAGAGGGCAAGAATCAGACTCTGCTTAGTGTGGAGTCCGATGTGGGGCTTGATCTCAAGAACCTGAGATCGTGACCTGAGTCGAAACCAAGGGTCAGACACTTAACCATCTGAGCCACCCAGGCACCCCAATTTATTTCTTTATTTTAAAAATATTTTATTTATTTATTTGAGAGAGAGAGCGAGCAACCATGCAAGCGAGTGGGAGGGAGAGGGAGAGATAATCTGAAGCAGACTCTGCGCTGAGCACAGGGCCTGATGTGGGCTCAGTCCCATGACCGTGATGTGATATCATGACCTGAGCTGAAACCCAGAGTTGGATGCTCAACCGACTGAACCTTGTTTTGTTTAATAATAGTTGATTTTTTAATCCTACTGGCTCTGCGTTATGGTTCATTATTAATATATATCACATTCTCTAGGAATAGTATGACATATGGTTTTGTTTATGTTTTATTAATAAGTGTTACATTGTGGGGGCGCCTGGGTGGCTCGGTTGGTTAAGCATCTGATTTCAGCTCAGGTAATGATCTCAGTTATTAGACTGAGCCCTGTGTGGGGCTCTGTGATCAGCTGGGAGTCTGCTTGTCCCTCTCCCTCTGCCCCTCCCCCTGCTCATGTTCTCTCTGTCTTTCAAATAAATAAATAAAAATCTTTGTTTTATTTTTTTAAAAAGATTTTATTATTTATTTATTTGCCAAAGTGAGAGGGGGGTAGAGAGAGAGAGAGAGTGAGCACAAGCAGGGGGAGTGGCAGGCAGAGGGAAAAGCAGGCTCCCCGCTGAGCGGAGCCCAGTGAGGGACTCGATCCCAGGACCCTGGGACC